CCTTTCGAGGCTGAGCTATCTCTGAATGGAAACACGTTTATATCCAGTCTTGAATAAATCATCAAATTTTGCGATGTAGAGTTTATCAACCAGCCCATTAATGAGTCATAAAAATCTGAATCTCATGCATTGGGAGCTCTGGTCAGAGCACCTGTGAAAACCAGTGTTTTAAAAGTTGCAGAGCTCAATCGGTCTGTGTTCGAGGAAGATGCAAAACAGTAGTTTAGCGTAAATCCCAACAACGAAGTCAGCCAAATGACACCATAATAACCATCTCACCGCCTCATCCTCTCTCTGCAACTGCAGGCGTGGTGGACTTGAACCTCTGCAACATCCGGGACATGGAGGTGATCGAACTGAGCAAGCGAGCGAGTGGCCAGGCCTTCGAGGTCATTCTGAAGCCGCCCACCTTCGACGGCGCCCCCGAGCTCAGGGCCACGACGCCGCCTCGCCAGAAACCATCGCTGGCGGAGATCCAGAAGAAACTGGACGCTGCTCAGGAAAGGAGGAAGGTGTGTATGTGTGTCAAAGGAGTAGGTGTGCTAAAAGTGTTTAAGGTCATAAATTTGATGTTTTATTTAAAAACATTTAAATATTTTTAATGCATGTAACATTAATTTATTGATGTTTAACAGTTTTGCTCGTATTGCCTCTTGTTGACCTGATTTGGTCTCACTGGGATAAACAAGTTAGTACAGTTCAAGCTAAGGAGAACAAACAGATATGAAACGCACAATTTATGGAAATTCTTCAAAGAGTTTAAGAGAAATGTCAATAAAAACAGATGTGAGGCTCATAGAGTCAGTAATCAGACAGATTCATCCTCAAGTCACCATGAATGTCTGTGCAGTTTTAAATTGCAGTCCATCCAGATGTTACTACAAAAATTAGGGGTCCTAAAATCGAACTCTGAGGAACGCCACAAGTTCTTTCAAATTGTTCTACGTGTCTGTTCAGACAAATACATTTCAAGATTGAAGCATCAGTGTAAAGGGATGAAACTCAGTAACAATCCTCCCTCTGACTCGCTCTAGTGTCAGGAGGCGGAGCTGCTGAAGCACCTGGCCGAGAGGAGGGAGCACGAGCGGGAAGTCGCTCAGAAAGCTTTGGCCAAAGAGTGTCAGGAGCATCGCGCCACCGCCAACATGGAGCAGCGGCAGATGCACCTGAACGCCTCACAGGAGAGGCTCCACGAGGAGGTGAGGACCGCGGTTTTACACTGCGAGATGTTACCTTCATTTACTGAAAATAAAATCTGAACTCTGGAAATAAATCACTAAAAGAAGCCTGTGTGGTTTCTGTTTGTGTCTTTCAGGACAAGCACAGCGTGGAGGTGAGCACAGGCTGAAAAAAGAGGGAATCTGGGTAGAAACTGTGAGACAAAATGTTTTTATTTTAATCTCTGTTGCTTCTTCTGGGAGAAAAACAACTACAGAAACACTATAGACTCAAATAACACAGTTTGCAGTAGCAAACATGCAGTCAAACCGAGGCTACGTCCACACGTAC